CGCTGCACTCGCTCATCTCAGAGCTAAGCCCACAGGAGAAAGAGGACTCGGTCATCGTGGTGCTGATCGCTGAGGCAAGTGGGCTGGGGCACGGGTCGAGGGGACATTCAGAGGAAGACACACGGCACAAAATAACAAGGAGAATGAAAACAGCAACATTTCGGAGGAAAAAACTCTCAGAAGTTCAATCGTCAGTTTCACTCACAAACTTAACAAGATAAAAAGTTAAAAGACATTTTAGCGCCCCCTCGTGGAGATGCCAGTTATAGTCTGTCCCACCCCTTGGACCGAGGTATCTAAAAGGGCTTTTTCTGAGGCACCTGTGACCCCCAGGCCCAGCCTTACTTAGCCTTCAGGATGGTGGGCTCACTCCCTCAATGTGGGAGAGAAGGCTGTGTCCTTCCCTCAGCCCTTTCTTCCAGGCCATTTGGGCTGGCAGCCTGGCTCATGGAGGGCACTTGGTCTCCCCACAGACTGACCCACAGTATACCTCGCTGGTGACGGAGAATATCAAGGCCTTGTGAGTACAGACAGCCCGACAAGGCTGGTGGAGGGAGGACACTTTGCGGGGTGTTGGGCAGACAGGTGCCGGCTGTGCCGCGCCCCCCCCCCCCCCCAGCAAGATGCACCATCCCTCTGTGGGAAAGGGTGCTTCCCTTCTTGATGAAAGGGGGTGGGCATGTAGAGATGACCCAACCCCTCTGGAGCCTCAGTGCCTCAGTAGGATGGGTGTGGTGTCAGGGGATGTCTGCCTGGTGGGCCTTAAGAAAAGGACGGGGTCTAGCTAGCTCAGCTCTGTCCCTGCTCCAGTCCCTGGAGGCTGCACACTCACTGGGCCTTCCTGTCCCCCAGGTTCCCTACAGAGATCCATTCTGGGCTCCTAGAGGTCATCTCCCCTTCTCCCCACTTCTACCCTGACTTCTCCCGCCTCCGAGAGTCCTTTGGGGACCCCAAGGAGAGAGTCAGGTACTAGCACTACCCACCTCCCTGTGCCCCCAGCACCTGCCCACCTGTGCTAAGAACCTAGTTTGTGGGTGTATGAGTCCTGGGCACTTCCCTGCAGTGCCTCCATTGTTCCATTGGAGGACCCCTGCATGGGGGGGTGGGGGTCTCCTACCCACTCAGTGGCCTCTGTGGTAGCCACATTGGAGGTGGAGGGGGTCTGAGCTCTTGAGGCCCCTGCCCCTGGCCCACAGGTGGAGGACCAAACAGAACCTTGATTACTGCTTCCTCATGATGTATGCGCAGTCCAAAGGCATTTACTACGTGCAGGTGAGCACTGAGACCCTGCTCTGTCCCTTTTCCCCCTGGACCCTGGATGAGCCTGGGTGGCAAGCCCTGCCCTGCCCCTGTGCCCATCCTGAGTCCCGGCCCCCTTCTACCTACCCACCACTGTGCAGCTGGAGGATGACATCATAGCCAAGCCCAACTACCTGAGCACCATGAAGAACTTCGCACTCCAGCAGCCCTCGGAGGACTGGATGATCCTGGAGTTCTCCCAGCTGGGCTTCATTGGTGTGCCACCCCCCTCCCTGCCCCGCTGACCTAACCAAAATATCTCCATCCAGCCCACTTCTGCCTCTCTCATCATCTCAGTCCCACGCCCTGTTCCGAGCCCTAGTACCATGCAGTGTCGTGCTCTGAGCCTTTGCCTGGAGTGCCTGCTGCAGCCCCACCTGGCCTGTTCCTGCCTGCCCTCTGCATCGGGATGTTTGGGCTCACCATCCCGTCTGCTCTCTTGTTACCTGCACCTGCCTGCAGCCAGCCAGAGGTTTTGCTGTGGGACCCTTCCCAGAGTCCCCCACAGGGACTAAGAGGAAGTAGGGCAGGGCAGAGCTGCCTACTCAGCACCCCTTTCCCTCCAATCCCACCCCCAGGGAAGATGTTCAAGTCACTGGACTTGAGCGTCATTGTGGAGTTCATCCTCATGTTCTACCGGGACAAGCCCATCGACTGGCTCCTGGACCATATTCTGTGGGTGAAGGTCTGCAATCCTGAGAAGGATGCGGTGAGCAGAACCTGCACAGAGGCGAGAGGGGGCGGTGGAGCAAGCAGCCTCCAGTAGGGACTGTGTCGGTGACCATGCACCTGACAGGAGGAGACTGCGCTGCTGGCTGGAGGAGTTTCTGTCTTCAGAGGTAGAGTTGAGTTGACCCCTTGTGTGTGTCACCCTCCCTCCACAGAAGCACTGTGACCGGCAGAAGGCCAACCTGCGGATCCGCTTCAAGCCATCCCTCTTCCAGCATGTGGGCACTCACTCCTCACTGGCGGGCAAGATCCAGAAACTGAAGGTGGGCAGTGCCACACTCAAGCCTAGTTGAGTACAGCAGAGCCTGGGCTGAGGTTGGACAAGGAGGTAGCAGGGCAAGTCCAGGGCCCACCCTAACACCATTGTCCCTCCTCCACTGTAGGACAAGGACTTTGGGAAGCAGGCATTGCGGAAGGAGCATGTGAACCCGCCAGCGGAAGTGAGCACGAGCCTCAAGACATACCAGCACTTCACCCTGGAGAAGGCCTACCTGCGCGAGGATTTCTTCTGGGCCTTCACGCCCGCTGCAGGGGACTTCATCCGCTTCCGCTTCTTCCAGCCACTGCGACTGGAGCGGTCAGTGCCAGCGCCCACAGGTCCACCTTGGGGGAGGGGCAGGGTGGCTACCAGGGTAGAGGCCTCACCACAAATTTCTGAACCTGCAGATTTCCCTCTGTGACCCTCCCCTGCAAATTACTTAACCTTATTAAGTTTTCTTATCTGAAAAGTGGGGCTCAGAACAGTAGTCACTTTGTAAAGACTAAGTCCAACAGTGCCCACAGGAGCTCAGTGACATTGCCCATCACCAGTGTCCTTACAAGTAAGGCCCTGGTTGCCTTGCACAGTCCAACGGCTGCCCCGGGTGGTGCCCAGCCTCACCCAGTACCTCAGGGCCCACCTCCTGCACTCCTAGCCCAGGCCTGGCCTTTCTCTGCTGGGTAGTGTGCCTGGGCAGTGCCCCACCCCTGCAGCAGCTCACAGGCCTGTCTGGCCACAGGTTCTTCTTCCGAAGTGGGAACATTGAGCACCCAGAGGACAAGCTCTTCAACACATCTGTGGAGGTGCTGCCCTTTGATGTGAGTGTAGTAGCAGGTGGGTGTGCACTGAGGCCTGCCCCTTCCACAGCCACTGTCTTCAGCCCCTTGATTTTGTCCCCAGAACCTCCAGTCAGACAAGGAGGCCCTGCAGGAGGGCCGTTCAGCCACTCTCCAGTACCCTCGGAGCTCTGATGGCTACCTCCAGATCGGTGAGTGAGGGGCAGTCAAGTGGAGGTGAGGGGAGAGGCAGGAGTCTTGGGACAACCTCTCATTGCTGCACTCCCCCAGGCTCTTTCTACAAGGGTGTGGCACAGGGAGAAGTGGACCCAGCCTTTGGCCCCCTGGAAGCACTGCGCCTCTCCATCCAGACAGACTCGCCGGTGTGGGTCATTCTGAGTGAGGTGATATAGGGCAGGGCTGGGTACAGGGAATGGGGAGCTGTACCAAATAGCTAGACCAGGGCTGCTCTCTGAGACCCCAGCTGACACTGAGCCCTGCTCTTCCAGATCTTCCTGAAAAAGGCTGACTAAGCCAAGGGCTTCTGAGGGTGCGTTTTGGCTGGCCCTGAAGCCCACGAGACCTGGGATGTCGTCGCCGCTGCCCCCGGAGGGCCAGGCATGGCCACCCCAGTCTGAGGGGTTCTGCCTGGCACCCCACTCCATTGGCCTGGGGTGGCCGCTGGCCCGGAGGCCCCAGGAACTGGTGCTGCCCCGCCCGCCGGCCGCGGGGAAGAGGCAGGAGGCCCCCACACTGTGCCTGAGGCCGGTCCGCGCCGCCCGGAACCGTTCGCACCCTGGCCCCCTTGAGCCAGGCCTTTATAGAAGAGCCTTTTCCTGGGCGCCCACTGTCTTCGCGCGAACACTGGAATGCATATACTACTTTATGTGCTGTGTTTTTTATTCTTGGATACATTTGATTTTTTTCACGTTAAGTCCACATATACTTCTATAAGAGCGCTCCTTGTAATAAAGGGTTAATGAAGTGTGTGCCTGCTCCGAGCTCACAGCCTGGCGCCTAGCCACCCGGCGACCCCGCCCTCCGCGCAGTTCCGCAGGACCTCGCTCGCATTCTCTGGGAGGGTCCCGGCCGCCCGGTCGGTACCTCGCTGATGGAGCTGGTGCAGAATCTGGGTCCACACCCCCAAACCGCCCCCACTTCCGTGATAACCCTCCTCGGAGCGTGCCCCCTAGCGCCCATCATACCTCCCCAAGTGCCTGCAGCCGCCTCTCACGAAAGGCATCCCCCCGCCTCCTCCTCCCACTCCTTCCTGGGTCTCAGTCCCACCTTTTCCACCGTCTCCAAGGCTCTGCTCCTGTCCCCAGTCTGTGACTCATTTTAGGTTCTCCCATCCATCTCAGGGCCTTTGTTTTTGCCCTGCTTTGAAAGCTCCTCTGCCTGCTCAGCTAAAAGTCACCTTTTTAGGGACTCTTCCCGGCCAGCAGGCCTTCCCCAGATCTGGTCCCCCGAGACACTAGGACGTTTACTGGAGAGCGCCTCTTAAAACTACATTGATTAAGTTCATCGTCGTTCTCCGCGGGCCGCAACAGGTTGCCCTGAACACTGCATTGTTCTAGATGCCGGTAACCGAGTACCGACCCAAAAAAAGCCCCTCGTATCGGCTGTGAAGTCCAGGGTATGAGGAATAGGGCGGCTCAGGGTCGGTGGAGAGGCAGGCCTCATAGGAGGGGGACAGGCGAGGAAAGAGCTGACCGCAGGGAGGAGGAGCCGTGGGGGGAGCCCCGGCGGGAAAGGATGTGTGACTAGCAGCGTGGGGGAGCAGGGCGGGAGAGGACCGGACCCAGGGCCCGATCGAGCCCCTGCCCGAGAGAGGCCTCTTTCCTTCCGCAGCCCGACAGACTGCTGTGGCCTGAAGCTAGGCCCCTCCAAGCTCTACAACCCGCAGTGCGCAACCCACTCCGACCCAGACAGTGCACTCGAGATCACGCTTTAATGAGAGACTGGGATGGGGGCGAGCACCCTCCCCCGTCCTCCAGGAGGCTCCGCCCACCCGGCGTCCTCCGTCTCAGGCCTTCTGCAGCAGTTTCTGGAACTGTCCGAGGAGCGCGGCCGGGAGGAAGTGGGCGAGTAGGCCAAGCGCCGCCAACACCACGAGAAGCCAGAGCGCGCGCGCGCTCGCGTACAGCGGGGCCAGCCTGCGGGCAGTGCTCAGCGGGGGCGGGGCGGGGGCAATGGCCCCACCCCAACCCTACGGCCCGCCTCCACCAGGGCCCGCCCACCTGCCCCCAAAAGGGAACAGCCTCCAACCAGTCTCCTGGTCCCGCCCGGCATCCGCTTGCGGCCTCTGCCGTCAAGACCCTGCCCACAAGCCAAGCCACCTTTCCCCGCCCCGGTGGAGCTCCCGGGAGCCCCGCTCCGGTTCTCACCTTTGCTGCGCAGATCTCGCGTAGCCCTGAAAGTAGCGGAGGCGCGCGAACAGGTATACCAGGCCACACAGTGCTGCCGCCCCTGGGAAAGGGGAGGGCGGGGTGGGGTGAGCCCGCTGATGCGGGGACCCCCGGGGCTCTAGTGCGTATGCCCCTGGCCCGCTCTCAGACCTTCGTGAAAGAAGATGCCGGCGACCCAGAGCGTGGCGAGGAACAGCGGGAAATACTCGCTGCAGTTCACTCTGCGGTGGGGGAGGAGCGGCATGAGGGCGCCGGCCTGGGGCCTCCGAGCCTGACCGCCCGGGGCTGCCTAGCTCCCTGCCCCGCGCCCTCCCACCGCGCCTCACTGGGCTCGGTAGATGCGCTCGAACTCCGGCGGGCCGGTGGTGAGCGGCGGAGACACGTGGAAGGCCCTGCGCGCCGAGATCACCTGCAGCAAGAAGTAGGCTGGGGGAGGAGGTGTTGCCGGAGTCAGATCTGGCACCCAGACTCCCGGCCCCGCCTCCAGTCTGGCCGCGCATCTTTTCTTTTCCCAGCTCCACACCTTGCTCGTCACGACTCCCCTTTAAAAGCCCGACCAAGGGGACCGCCGGCCCCTGCTCTTCGAGCTTGCCCTGTGTCCACGACACTCAGTGGGGAGGGCAGGGTGCCCGCCTGGGGCTCTGAGAGGCCCTGTCCAGCCCAATGAGTGTAGGGGAAGGGATGACACGTCACAGGACACCTGCCCGCAGGACTTTGCTTCTGAATCATTTCACTTGCAAAACACAGGCAAATGTCCAACTCCCATCCTCTAGGCCTGGACTTTGGCCCAGATTCCTGGAATGGGAGTGCCACCCGAGGGCAGAGTTGGCTGCATCCTTCCAGCTACAGAGGATCACACACTCTGTGACCAACTGTCCCTGCTCCGCCACCCACAGAGCTCACCAGGAGGGACCTCCCGACCAAGCCTGGGTGGCTGTGCCTCCAAACTGTGGTGTGGGTTCCTGCCTCAGTTTCTCTGTTCAGGCTCTGCCTCAATCTGACAGACACCCTCTCCTCTGCCCCCAGGTGGTTACGGCTGGGACTATTCTAGTCCAACCCCAAGCCACCAGGGCTCTGCCCCTCTCCCTTGCAACATGGGTGGGTACAGAGGGTGGGCTGGCCCTTGAGGGTATGAGTGCACAGGAGCCCTTCTCTTCGCCTGAAGCCAGGTGCCCACCACACAAACAGTCCCAGTACTGGGTGTCTCCAACTATCTTCCTGCAAGTCCCATGGCCCTGGTGCGCTTGGTGCCAGGCCCTCTGCAGACATATCCCAACCTTAGTGCACTGTGGATACCAAGGGTAGCCTTGCCAGCACAGTGTATGTGAGGAAGGGCTGAGGGCCAAGCTTACTGGTATGGCTGGAGATCAAGTCAGCCTGTCTGCTCAGCCACTCCAGGGCCCCTGCCCCAGGCTGTGTCTTGTCCTAGCCCATACAGTGTGAGGCAATGGTGTCCTCCAAAGCCAGAATATCTATCCCAGGAATGTGTCTCTAGGGCTGGTCTGAGAAGGGCACCAAGCAGGCACCTTTGGGGGCCAAAAAGCAGGTTTCAACCCTGTCTAGCTCCACATGGTTCCAGCATAGAGAGGGTGACTTTGAAGGCAGGCCCAGGGGATGGGGCCCTCCCACTGGGACACCCAGAGAGGGGACCGCTGGGGAGGGCAGGGATCAGCTGGAGTAGGGCTGCATCAAGCCCATGGCTGTCCCACTTCTGTACTGACCATCAGAACACCCATTCATCCTGGCACCCTGCCCCCCGCTCAGGTCCTAGAGCCCAACATAGCTGGATGCCCCACCTGCCCCCTGAAAGCCCCTGCCCCCCTCCAGGGTTCTTTATGCTGGCTGAGGTGCCAGCCTCCAACCCCAAGCCAGGCAGCCCACATGCCTACCTCAGTTGTTCCTCAGGGGCCATTTTCAATTTCGCTGCCCATCCCCTAGGTTGGGTACCTCTCAGCCTTGGTCCCTGCCCAGGGTTTCACAGTTTGCCCTGCAGACACCCCTCCAGGGCTTCCCCCTCCCCACTTGGGGAAAATGCAAGCCCCTCAGCCCTCTGGTGGGGGCCAGAAGAGCTTTCATACCAGGAGCCTGGGCTGTCCCTCACCTGGGCCTGGACCCCAGCACCTCCCCAGTACCTAGAGGGCAGAAGGCAGACTGCAGGGGTCTGAAGCCCACCCAGTGCCAGAGCAGAAGCCAGCCCACCTTGCAGCAAGACTCCCAGGAGGGTGACAGTGGCCAGAAGAGCCACTTCGTCCTTCATGGTGCCGGTGGCTCTGTCGGGCCAGGCTGGACTCTGAGAGGGCTTGCTGTGGGGCTCTTATCACCCTTGTCTGCTGCTCAGAGGCTGGTCCAGGAGAGGAAGAGTGGCCCGCTCTCCCCGCCCCTTCTCAGTGGAGGGGGTTGAGGAAGGGGGCGTGACCATTGCCTGAGAGACCTGGGGAGCCTGGTCAGGCTGAGCAAGAGGAAACCAGGGCCAGAGCTTCCCTGGTGGCGCAGTGTTAAGAATCCGTGAACACAGCCTGCAGGGGGTTAGTGCACCACGGCTAGCCGGGAGGGAGTCCGGGGAAAAGTCTGGACCTGCCGAAGAGGCAAGAGACTTTTTCTTCCCTCTTCGTTTCCTGGTGCGCGAGGAGAGGGGATTAAGAGCGCTGCTTAAAGGAGCTCCAGAGACCCGCGGCTAACAGCGCGGACCACAGAGACGGGCATGAGACGCTAAGGCTGCTGCTGCCGCGACCAAGAAGCCTGTGTGCGAGCACAGGTCACTATCCACACCCCCCTTCCGGGGAGCCTGTGCAGCCCGCCACTGCCAGGGTCCCGGGATCCAGGGACAACTCCCCCGGGAGAACGCACAGCGCGCCTCAGGCTGGTACAACGTCACTCTGGCCTCTGCCGCCGCAGGCTCCCCCCGGCCTGAGTGAGCCAGAGCCCCCGAAGCAGCTGCTCCTTTAACCCCGTCCTGTCTGAGCAAAGAACAGACGCCCTCCGGCGACCTACACGCAGAGGCGGGGCCAAATCCAAAACTGAGCCCCTGGAGCTGTGAGAACAAAGAAGAGAAAGGGAAATCTCTCCCAGCAGCCTCAGAAGCAGCGGATTAAAGCTCCACAATCAACTTGATGTACCCTGCATCTGTGGAATACATGAATAGACAACGAATCGTCCCAAATTGAGGAGGTGGCCTTTGAGAGCAAGATTTATGATTTTTTCCCCTTTTCCTCTTTTTGTGTGTATGTGTACTCTTCTGTGTGAGATTTTGTCTGTATAGCTTTGCTTCCACCATTTGTCCTAGGGTTCTATCCATCCGTCTTTTTTTTTCTTAAAAATTTTTTTTCTTTTTTATTATTTTTTCTTTTTTTATTTTTTTTTTTCTTTCTTTCTTTCTTTCTTTCTTTCTTTCTTTCTACTTTTTCTCCCTTTTATTCCAAGCCATGTGGATGAAAGCCTCTTAGTGCTGCAGCCAGGAGTCAGTGCTGTCTGTGCCTCTGAGGTGGGAGAGCCAACTTCAGGACACTGGTCCACAAGAGAACTCCCAGCTCCACATAATATCAAATGGCAAAAATCTCCCAGAGATCTCCATCTCAACACCAGCACCCAGCTTCACTCAACAACCAGCAAGCTACAGTGCTGGACACCCTATGGCAAACAACTAACAAGAAAGGAACACAGCCCCATCCATTAGCAGAGAGGCTGTCTAAAATCATAATAAGTCCACAGACACCCCAAAACACACCACCAGATGTGGACCTGCCCACCAGAAAGACAAGATCCAGCCTCATCCACCAGAACACAGGCACTAGTCCCCTCCACCAGGAAGCCTACACAACCCACTGAGCCAACTTTAGCCACTGGGGACAGACACCAAAAACAACACGAACTGCGAACCTGCAGCCTGCAAAAAGGAGACCCCAAACACAGTAAGATAAGCAAAATGAGAAGACAGAAAAACACACAGCAGATGAAGGAGCAAGATAAAAACCCACCAGACCTAACAAATGAAGAGGAAATAGGCAGTCTACCTGAAAAGGAATTCAGAATAATGATAGTAAAGATGATCCAAAATCTTGGAAATAGAATAGAGAAAATGCAAGAAACACTTAACAAGGATCTAGAAGAACTAAAGATGAAACAAGCAACAATGAACAACACAGTAAATGAAATTAAAAATACTCTAGATGGGATCAATAGCAGAATAACTGAGGCAGAAGAACGAATAAGTGTCCTGGAAAATAAAGTAGTGGAAATAACTACTGCAGAGCAGAATAAAGAAAAAAGAATGAAAAGAACTGAGGACAGTCTCAGAGACCTCTGGGACAACATTAAACGCACCAACATTCGAATTATATGGGTTTCAGAAGAAGAAGAGAAAAAGAAAGGGACTGAGAAAATATTTGAAGAGATTATAGTTGAAAACTTCCCTAATATGGGAAAGGAAATAGTTAATCAAGTCCAGGAAGCACAGAGAGTCCCATACAGGATAAATCCAAGGAGAAATACGCCAAGACACATATTAATCAAACTGTCAAAAATTAAATACAAAGAAAACATATTAAAAGCAGCAAGGGAAAACCAACAAAAAACACACAAGGGAATCCCCATAAAGTTAACAGCTGATCTTTCAGCAGAAACTCTGCAAGCCAGAAGGGACTGGCAGGACATATTTAAAGTGATGAAGGAGAAAAACCTGCAACCAAGATTACTCTACCCATCAAGGATCTCATTCAACTGAAAGCATTTCCTCTCAGATCAGGAACAAGACAAGGATGTCCACTCTCACCACTATTATTCAACATAGTTTTGGAGTCCTAGCCACAGCAATCAGAGAAGGAAAAGAAATAAAAGGAATACAAATTGGAAAAGAAGAATTAAAACTACCACTGTTTGCAGATAACATGATACTATACATAGAGAATCCTAAAGATGCCACCAGAAAACTACTAGGGCTAATCAATGAATTTGGTAAAGTTGCAGGATATAAAATTAATGCACAGAAATCTCTTTCATTCTTATATACTAATGATGAAATATCTGAAAGAGAAATTAAGGAAACACTCCCATTTACCATTGCAACAAAAAGAATAAAATCCCTAGGAATAAACCTACCTAGGGAGACAAAAGACCTGTATGCAGAAAACTATAAGACACTGATGAAAGAAATTAAAGTTGATACCAGCAGATGGAGAGATATACCATGTTCTTGGGTTGGAAGAATCAATATTGTGAAAATGACTATATTACCCAAAGCAATCTACAGATTCAATGCAATCCCTATCAAATTACCAATGGCATTTTTTTACAGAACTAGAACAAAAAAATCTTAAAATTTGTATGGAGACAAAAAAGACCCTGAATAGCCAAAGCAGTCTTGAGGGAAAAAAGTGGAGCTGGAGGAATCAGACTCCCCGACTTCAGACTATACTACAAAGCTACAGTAATCAAGGCAATACAGTACTGGCACAAAAACAGAAACATAGATCAATGAAGCAAGATAGAAAGCCCAGAGATAAACCCATGCACCTATGGTCAACTAATCTATGACAAAGGAGGCAAAGATATACAATGCAGAAAAGACAGTCTCTTCAAGAAGTGGTGCTGGGAAAACTGGACAGCTACATGTAAAAGAATGAAATTAGAACACTCCTTAACACCACACACAAAAATAAACTCAAAATGGATTAGAAACCTAAATGTAAGACCAGACACTATAAAACTCTTAGAGGAAAACATAGGCAGAACACTCTTTGACATAAATCACAGCAAGATCTTTTTTGATCCACCTCCTAGAGTAATGGAAATAAAAATAAACAAATGGGACCTAATGAAACTTCAAAGCTTTTGCACAACAAAGGAAACCATAAGCAAGACGAAAAGACAACCCTCAGAATGGGAGAAAATATTTGCAAACGAATCAATGGACAAAGGATTAATCTCCAAAATATATAAACAGCTCATGCAGCTCAATATTAAAGAAACAAACAACCCAATCCAAAAATGGGCAGAAGACCTAAATAGACATTTCTCCAAAGAAGACATACAGATGGCCAAGAAGCACGTGAAAAGCTGCTCAACATCACTAATTATTGAGAAATGCAAATCAAAACTACAATGAGGTATCACCTCACACCAGTTAGAATGGGCATCATCACAAAATCTACAAACAACAAATGCTGGAGAGGGTGTGGAAAAAAGGGAACCCTCTTGCACTGTTGGTGAGAATGTAAATTGATACAGCCACTATGGAGAACAGTATGGAGGTTCCTTAAAAAACTAAAAATAGAATTACCATATGACCCAGCAATCCCACTACTGGGCATATACCAGGAGAAAACCATAATTCAAAAAGACACATGCAACCCAATGTTCATTGCAGCACTATTTACAATAGCCAGGTCATGGAAGCAACCTAAATGCCCATCAACAGACGAATGGATAAAGAAGATGTGGTGCATATATACAATGGTATATTACTCAGCCATAAAAAGGAACGAAATTGGGTCATTTTTTGAGACGTGGATGGATCTAGGGACTGTCCTACAGAGTGAAGTAAGTCAGAAAGAGAAAAACATATCGTATATTAACGCATATATGTGGAACCTAGAAAAATGGTACAGATGAACCGGTTTGCAGGGCAGAAATTGAGGCACAGATGTAGAGAACAAACGTGTGGACACCAAGGGGGGAAAGTGGCGAGGGGGTGGGGGTGGGGGTGTGATGAATTGTGCGATTGGGATTGACATGTATACACTGATGTGTATAAAATGGATGACTAATAAGAACCTGCTGTATAAAAAAGTTTTTTAATTTTTAAAAATTAAGAAAAAAATTTTAAAAAGAAAAGAAACCACAATCTCAGTACCATAGACAATCATAAGCAGTACACAACTCACACCCTAAGCTTAAATTTAAAAAAAAAGAGGTTTATTTTGAAATTGTTTTACTTACAAAATTTTTGCACAAATAGCACACATTTCCCATCACCCAGCTTCCTCTAATGTTAACATCTTATATAATTATAATTCAATTATGTAAACTCAGAAATTAACATTGATACAATACTATCAGCCATTTTACAGATCTTACTGAAGTTTCACCAATTGTGCCACTAAAATAGTACAAAGACCTCTAAAACATTACTCAAAGTTGTGGCAGACACAAAACACATATCGTTCGATTCCCTTTATATGAAATGTCCAGAAAAGACAAATCCATAGAGACAGAAAACAGATCACTGGTGGCCAGGGGCCGGGAGCATTACTGGAATGATGAAAATGTACTAAAACTGAATTGTGGTGAACTTTGCACAACTCTGTAAATTCACCAAAAATCGTTGAATTTTATACTTAAGATGGGCATATGTTATGGTATGTA